TATTTCGTTAGATATCGCAATGGGTAAATCCTCGCGGGACACTCTATATAATATATATTTATGGCATGAAACAATAAAATATATATAGATACATAAATACATAATATATATTTAATTTATTATTTACATATAAGGAATAAAGTGGTGTATACTCGATCAATATTCGATATTAACATTATTATTAACCGTGTATTGGTTATATTTCAAGTATTTCAATAGCATTGAAAATTTCAAAATCGTTTTGATATATTTTAATGACAGGGTTCTATTAATATTAAAAATATTGATCGTGTATAGGCCRCTTAATGGAACCTAAATCTATGTAATATTCTATTGACTATTATTATAGTTCAAAATTATTTGTGTATTATACATATTATACACATTATTAACAATAATACTCAGGTGATATTTTTTTCACAGACACCAGAATGTCTGATGGATTGGTCGACACAGCGATGCAAAATGATAAACGTCAAGACCTGGACCACGTATTCCTCAGATTCGGTCGCAGAAGACGTTAAATACGACGCTTTTTTAAAATATGCTTAAGATAACTTCCTTCTTCTTCTCTTAGATCCTAAACAACTTTATTATATTTGTGTGTCATATATAATAAAAAATATATAGCTATTTCAAATAAAAAAACGTAGACTATTATMTACACCATAAAAAAAGAAAACTATTTTAAGGTTAACATTTCGATCATTTGTTTGTTTTTATTTTATTTATTAATCGCGTAAATTGTTTTGATTTACATAGCATACCCAGCAATGTAGAATTTTAGTACCTAGCTATATCAATAAGATCAAAATTATTGTGAACACATTATTTAAGACTTAATTTATTTTTATTTTTAATTTATTATTTGTTTACCTACCTCGTTAGGATTGAATATCTGCTCATGTTTACTTAAAATAACATACTAGTCTGCTGTATTTTATTTATTTGTTTATTTATTTTAGTAAGAAAACATCGTAAAATGTTATATATATATTATTATTATTCTATAGTTAATAATATTAATAGACCTTATTTGGTACACTATATAGATTGAATTACTGTTAACCATAATTATTATTACGATTATTATTATTATAAAACTATACGAATATATTTAAATATATATATATAAATAAATGAAATTACTTTAAAAAAACTACACACAAATACTTTTGTTTTACATTATATTTCATTCTCCATATTCCTTTAAAATATAAAGCTAAAAACATTGAATGTTTTATGCAAGCGAATGCAAATCATCTTATTTTTCTTCTTATTAAACTACTGTTCATGACAGATGGAATGGACTATTGTCATGTAGACAAATCTATAGAATAATTTAAAAACATATTGATTTTGGATATGAATAAACTTCATCCATTTTGATGAATAAATTCTTATGATTAAAAAATATCCTCTAATTTTTGTTCTTTATAAAATATTTTAGAAATATCAGAACAACAAGTTTTTCGGGATAATTTCATTTTATGAGAACACAGCTTAACTAAAAATAATTATCAAAGAATATTCATTTTAACAATAAYAAAATATATCATCAATATCTTTTTAGTAGATGAATTTTGTAATCAGAAAAATTTARATAAGGATTTAGAAAACGGATAAACTTATACGTATATTATAATATAACCCTATTGGTGAAATTTTTACCATAATTTACACGATTGTAGTAATTTTTCATTGATTTTCTCTTCAGTCCTCAGATAATAAAAATTATCCTACAACTTGTATGAAAAACTCATCGATTAAATATTTAAATATTATATTTCTGAAATGATTATGTTGTTCTTACATATAATGTAACCTGTATCTACAACATATTATATAACATAAATATATTCATGCATATTGCTCACATATTCGTYTAGTAACACRCATTTTTTTTATTAGCGGGTTTATGGTATAAATTATAAAACCCTCAAAACAAATAATTAAAATGTTTCATAGAATTATTGTTATTTATATGGACGTAACAGTTACGTCTAAGGTTAATTATCTTGTGATGTTGTATGATCCGTTATTCAACCGTCCACCATTTTCAACATATAGTTAGTTGAAGACTGGTAAAAAAGTTATAGTATTATTTTATATATTATTACCTATTTTATTTGTATAAATTGAAATATTGAATGGAATTCTGTAGTATTGGTTATAAAATCCAACAAAACAATAGTTTTATAAATACAATATAATTACATATTAAAACCAAAAGTCCTACTATCACTTTTACAGTTAAAAATATAGATTAATAATTCCAAAAAATAGCATTTTTAAATATTTTTTTTATTTAACCGGGTAAGTATTATATCAAAGTAGGTATTAAAAAGAAAATGTAAATGTATTACAAAAAAAGAGCTATTTATATAAAGATATTACTGTACATAGGTGAATTTTATTTTTAAAATACCTATAGTATTATAATAGTTATAGGTACCTAAGAAGTTTAAACGTTAGTCAAAAATTAGGGTAGAAAAATATCATAGTTATAATAATATATTCTATAGTCCGAACTCTGAATATTGAAAATCTTAAATGAAAGTAGTGGTAAATGGTAGTAAAAGTCTGAAAGTGGTAAATARGTTTTCAATTCAATAATACATATCGTATTGAACATTTCAGAACGTCAATCTTTCCTAGATAATTGATTTTGTTATCTCTAATGTACAGCTTTTTCAAGTTTACTGAATTCATCGTGACTTCATACCAAAAAGTATTATATTACCTATAGGTGTTTGCGTTCATACAAACTAGATTTAAAAAGCATTTTATTTTTAATTAATAAAAAWATATAATTCTACTATTTACACTATAGGTACCTATGAATTATAGCACACCACAGTATTATGCTTTAATGTAATATTATTAACATAATTACCGTTATTCGTTAAGGTTATATCAGCTCAATGTTTGTTTTCRTGAGYATTTTTAAATATCGTTATATCATTATATTCATAAAATCATAACCTTCACACAAATTCAAACAATCYTAAAAACATTGCAAAAATAAGTTTGATAATAGGTTAATTTATTCTAGTTTATTAAAGCTAAAATAAGTTAACATCGCAAAATTAGTTTTGCTGAACGCATTTTATTATTGTGCACTTGTGCATGGGTAAGGTAGAGAAAAAAATAGTTCACTGACACTCTCTTCATCATATTTTAAATATGGTAATAGGTCTATAATATATAATGTTGGGTAAATGTGCCTACCGTAAAAATGTTCAATTTCATTAAACATTTTTACAGGAACTTAGTTTAGTTTATATTTTATACTTACCAAAATAGACATAATAAGCTTGTATGATTGTAGCTTTGACAAAATTCGTTTGTACTACAAATCGGTAAATATTATTCGATGAGTGTCTTATTTCATAAGTAGCTAGGTTAAGTAAGTAGGTACACAATTTCAGACAAATATTAATATTTTTTTAATTTATAAGGTTTTTTTTTTTTTTTATTAGTGAAATTAATAATTTATCAAAAGGAAAATGTATACGAAACGGATGGCACACAATTATGAACCTTATTATGTAAAACCGATTCAAATATAAATAAGAGTAGTATTTATAACGTTGCTTTTATAAAATAATAAAAAAAAAACTGATAATATGCGTCGCATACAAATATATGTTTTCACCAGACAATAATGTTCTTCCAGTCTCGAACTTTATTATACATATATCATTATTCATTACCCATGTATTATAATTATGATAATATTATGGTATACATTTTGATAATTTATATCCTCAAGTATACTAAGATTTATAACCTARTATGAACATTTTTCCTGTTTTTTTAAAAATTATGCTTAGGGTAGTGTACTCACGTCTATGTGTTTAGTGTTTATTATATATATAATAATATATCGAATAAATGTTTGATTCAAAAATTTGGCATAGCGATTGTTTATATTATTCTCTACCACGTTCGAAAACCATTTAGCCCACGCTCGCGAACGTTAACTCCGACATTTTTTTTCATACTGGTATGTAAATCAGTTTGTTTTCCAAAAGTGTATATTATAATGTTTTCAATATTTCAATGAAATTATTATTTTATTATTTTTTCATAAAAACAGTTTAGTGGAAAATATTGCATATATTTTTTCTGTTGTTGAAAATATGCTTTGCTCATTCGGCACCCGTGGAAAACGTAAAGATACCTGCGTCTAGAGGTGCGATAYATAACACGAAGATATACAAAAAATATATTTCATGTAAGTATGCATACACGTTTTTTCCGTGTACAGATGAATCATAAAATAAAGAGTACCTAGGTATAATACCTATGACGCGTAATATTATAAACACTTCATGATATTATATTTCATAAATATATATTTACTAACATAAATATAAATGAAATTACCAGGGAAGAAAGATAATATTTGTTTACTATTCGTACATATTGTTTTATACTTAGTTTACCTTTTATTCTTGTATTATTATTTATTACGATATTGTTAAAAAAAATATTGTAATTTAGAGTAAACATTTAACAAAATAATGTTACAAACAAATTTAATATTACCAACAAACCTCTACGAGATTATTGGTCCTGACTGCCAACCAGAAAACATCATAGTATTACTCAAGGCATTAAAATTAGAAAAAATCATATGATAATTAATTAGAATTAAGCCACTATATTCTAGTTAGTTTATATATTATAATTAAGCCATTATATACTGTAAAAAAAATTATATATATATATATATATATATAATTGTATAAACTTCAAAAGCTAATGGCCTATGTTTTCGAAGCTATAATGTTCAATAAAAAAAAAAATATCAATATATTGAAGGTATTATACATAATTATATAATTATTACATAAGAATATTTTTCTAGAATTAGAAAAATACCTATCCATTGTTACTGAACACGGTACTAATTTAACTTAATTTATGACAAAAAATTTTAAATTACAACGATATTTTAAGCAAGTCAGATATTATAAAGATATAAAACTTACCGTTACCGCACCTTTTTTTAAACCATTAATCCTCATTCCTCTTAAGTTATTTTGTTCTTCAATCACTTCTTTTATAACCTATGTGATACGTATTTATTAGAATATTTATTAATTAACCTTATTATTACATTAAATATAGCTATTCAAATAAAAAAAAAATTWTTTACCTATTAAAATAAATTGAAATTGTTAAAATTGAATTAACTGAAATATCAATGTTTCTTTTACTAATTTAATTATTAAATTCGAAAATACTCAAATAATAGAATAA